GAAACTACTGAACCGATTGGCGTGAAAATTTGTATACAAGGGTTTTTGGGGCCGTGGAAGGTTCTTATGATGGTTCGAGACCCCTCCCCCTTCTGTAAGGGGGGGCTCCCATACAAATGAAACAAATTTCTGCATAACTCGAGAACTAATCAAGCAAATGGAACCAAATAAGACATGTGGGGGCGAGTGTGGGGGTATAAGGAGATAATCATAGGGGGTAGCCCCTTAGATAATAGGGGGGGCTACGTACAATATAGCATGCTTTTTTTTTAAATCGGCGCATAAACTCAAGCTAATATTGAATCCCGAGCAAGACCGGGCACACTCAGCTAGTTGCCTATAAATATGATGTGTCATTTATGACCATTTTCAACCACTGTGCGCAGCCGACCATTTCAAAAACGGCTACCTTGTATGTTTTTGGTTGCATTCATTTGACATGGTTTTTTAAAACATAAACAAAGAATGAGCGCACGAGCCAAAATTGCTTCACTTATTAGTAAGGTAAATAAAATACAATTTTCACCGTAGCCGTGTAATTTGCAGAATGCCTGAAATTTTATTTAAAATCCATAATAATTCTACCGTAACAGGTGACAGACACGTGCCTTTCTTGTACAAGTTTTAAATCCTCTTGCAATTAATTTAAATTTTTTGGCCATATCTCCGGAGCCAAATGTTTGATCTGGATAAAATTCAGTAGGGCTCCATGGAAGCCAGATAAGAACAAAATGGAAGCGGTTGATCTTCGAGAAACGTGAGAAAATTACACAATGAATGATCTTAACTAGCTACATACTTTTGTAAACGCCATCTTCTGGTACACACGTTTGTCCCGGTTGATCTAAAAAAAAACGAAACTCCATTTATTGATTCTGGGCACACTCTCACACCCCCTTAAAATGCTTAAAACACACCTTCTCGCAAGGAGACGCCTTTCTAATCCAACGGTAAAACACGTCAAACAGTTCCAACAGCCTAGGTGCGTCACACTCGTTTACCTTGGTTTGGAAGCATTCCCGCATCTGGATCAGCTCATCACACTGCTTTGTACCGTACTGAGACAATTCCATGGTGCTCGTCCGGTCCGAAACCACCTTCACGCACTGCATTGTATAGTTGCCAAAATGGTCCAAACAGCTGTAGAAGTTCACATCTTCGGATGTTCAAGAGGTTAACCACAACCAGCGTAACCGATAGAAGTATGAGCCTTACCACCAATCAGAATTGCTCCGTTATCCTTGCAGATCAACTCCAAACCATCCGGTACTACGCTAATCAGAATGTCTATCAGCTGTACATCGTCCTTACCGAGGCATTTGCGAAATTCTGTTACCAACGGACTTAGGCACCTTAAGGAAGCGCGAAGTTGAGGGCAGTACCTAGCTTCAGCATGTCAAGGAATAGAATTACGCGTTCAAACTCAAATCTATTGAAACTTACTTCGGAAGAACTCATTTCTCGTTGAAAGGTTCAAATGCCGGGAATCTTCAATAAATTCCGAAACATTCATGTTCGATCCCACGCAGATCGGTAACAGATAGTAGTACGTTCGCATGTCGTCGAAGGTTTGGTCGGAGCCAGTTCGAACGTGGTATGAGGCTTCCACTTCGCCCATCAAGCCTTCCGACTCGACCATCGTAGGGTCCTTGATTTGTGTCCTGATAAAAGTCCTAGCTGAAGCTACTGCAGATAATACACTTAGGAAAAGTAGCGCCAAATATTCGAATCTACTCATCGTGATGCACTTTCTCAATCAATCAGTATGTTCGCATGACAAAAGTGAAGCTCTATCGCTGATTTCGTTTGCTGATAGTGGCTGTGTTGTTTGAACGAAATGGTAATGAACACAAACATTGAGGTTAGAATATAATCTATACCTACTGACTCCCCATAGCAACCGTAGACTCCGAATGACAACGACCATGCAAAGAAAGATTCCACGAAAGCCAATTCAAATTCGTTGGCATTACCGGAAAGTCCGTGCATTTCATTATTTTCCGTGGAGGCGTTGAATAAATTAATCATTGTTCGGTCCGACAAGTGCTCCTGGCACGAAAAGGACTAGGCAAAATTCCAATCAAAAGATGTGCACACCCGTCACTTTCTTATGAATGTTGTTGTCAGGTCGTAAACTAGAGAAGCAGCATGTCATGGAATGACGAAAATGACGTCAGATTTTTCAGAAACATCAAAGTGAACTTTGATCCATCCGCTTGAAAATCAACTTCGTATGAACCACGAGCAAGTCTCGTGTATGTACTTACCTACTCACTTATCGTCGGTCGACATCACCATCAAAATCGCATTGGAAAGCACGGGATCTTGTGCTGACACACCGCGATTTTTTTCGCCTGTCTTCGGCGATGTTATGCGAACAATTGGCACCTTTTTTATCTCTTCAAAATAATAAACATTATTTGTACAAGTCGTGTTTGTAAATTACGAATGCGAATGTAATAGGGTTAACTACCTCATTTCCGGCCTATTAAGCACAACCCGCACTTAGTCTTTTTTAATCTAGCGCAGTTTAGCACCAAACGGAATGTTATTATTACTGATGGCTTTCAAATTTATTTACCTTTCCGCACGTACCGCAAGATTTGAAAAAGAGAAACCAATTGTTGAGATGTTGTCAAAAGTCTAACACTGCTTCTTGACACCAAGCTCGGCCTACGGATTCTAAACTCGGCCTAACGCATTGAAACGCCATCGAAACGCCAATGAATTCACATTGGCCTATCGGAGGAAGATGAAAATTGATTCGGTCGGAGCGTTTCTTTTGTTTTGGAAATAATGGGTGCAAACCTTCATACCACGCGTTCTCATTGACTTCGTTCGGTAGCTTATTTACTCAAGTATCGTAACAAACGCATATTTGACTTGTTAACTCTGAAATAATGGATTTATTTGAAGTATTCTGCTCGATAGGCCCAAAATGGGCGATTAGGCCGAAGTAGTTCTCTACCCTACGGTACCGTCCTTCATAGGCTTGGGGAAGAACCGTTCTCCCTTTGACATATTCGGCACGGTGACTTGATCAGAAAATAGCTGCCAACTCATGCTCTAAATCCGCTCTGTTTATCCGAGAACACCGCTCCGCTGCCCGTCGTCGTCTACGGCAACAAGTCGCGTATCGGTATCTGTGACGTCAGAGGGGTGTTCATACACACCGTGACGACGGCGGTGAATTGGCAGCTTCGAGAGACGGTTCAACTCCACCGGTAGGTCAATATTTACTTCATTAAATCACAATGGCATGCTGCCCAGCGTTGCTCTTTTAGAACACGTGGGTCGTCGCTTTTGGATCCCAGCGTGTGCGAAAGGGGCAATATCATAGCAAGCGCGACGGAGGAGGTGCGTTCGACGGTACGTCATCAATCCAATCGTAGCAAGCTGCGAGCAAGCACCGTTCGCATGGTGTTTCATTTTCATGGAGATTTCGGGATTTGTTTGAAATGCCCAACTGACGGTTTATTGCTTCGTTTGAAAGTGGTTTGCAGATAAATTACCTTAGAACGATAGAAAAACGGCTTACGCGATGACGTGAGGATGAGATTTTTGTTTTCTTTTTGGAAGGAGAAGCTCTGACGTGAATCGTGGGATTCAATATTACATTCACAGTAGGCGTATCGGAAAATCTCCTCCAGTAAATAATAGAATGTTATACGCTGTTCTTATTTAATATTTGCCCAATTAGGGCTGGAAGCGAAAAAGTTTATCAGCTGATGCGATTATAATTCATTGATAAACATGATGTTCAACCGCTGTTAATACACTCCTTTTTTTATTAATCAACTTTTTCCTGTTTGAACAACGATTAGTAATCGAGAATATAAATTCGCAGCATTCACAGAGTGACGTTTTGCGACGTGCGCTTCAGATTGTAATGTTTATCAACTGTCATGATCTACGCGTGAGTACATAGGCCGGTGTCGTGTTTAGTTTGCATCGACGAAACGTCGTGTCGTTATCGTAAAGTAAACGGTGATTTTTTTGAAATCCCTGCCAAATTGGGGGTTTTGATAACGAGTAGTGACAGTGTGACGTTGAACGAATTCGAAGGATGCACTTCTTGACGACGACAGTCAGACAGAAGCAGCGATTGTTATTCCTATTTGATGTTCGCCGGCATGTGGATTTGGAAAAAGTGACATTTTGTTGTAAACGCACAATGTTCCAATGCCTAAATGACGCAGCACATTTTTGGTCAATTTTAGATTTCCCTCCCCCTTCGTAGCGTATTTGCTATACCTACCTAATATTGTCGGTCTAGCTGGACACCGGAAAACCGCACACGCGGCATTCTATTTTACTCTCAACATAACGTCGGACGTAGTGCGCATTATAGCGCATGATTGTGCGAATACAGCGCACTATGTCCGACACTATTTTTTACCGTACAGCTTCCGGCTTCCAATTGTACCGATAATACGAAAAAAAAAACGCTTAATTAGTTTAAGAAAATGCATCATTTTTTTTTTCGATCCATGCTTCCAAAAGTTTCTAGAAGACGCCCGTCGCATTGCGCTTATAATAAAAAAAAAACTTTTTTTGTTTAAGGAAAGAAGAAAGCGATTACCGGTCGCTACGCTTTTCTAACTAAAAAAAACATGATCAGGACAGTAAATTTGAGCAGCCACGCAGTAATTCACTGTTTTGCCCGTAAAAGCATAACTGTACGAACTTTGCTTGATTTTCTTTTCATGTAGGACAGCTATGCTTTTATGGACATAATACGGGCTTGCCATTCTCCCGAAATGTAGCTGAAAGGCCCAAGCGCAATGACAACGGAAGCGGAACGGCAGCAGCTGCGAAAAAGCCCGATCTGACGAAGCCTACTTTTCGGGTTGAAATCTAGTTAGAACCAGATCGACATCTTGATGTCATTTGTGACAACTGTCAAACTTTCCGTTTCCGATCCGCTTCCGCCCACATTGCGTTTGGGCCTCCCGTAGCTCAGTCGGTAAAGGCCCTTAGCTACAAAACAAGACCATGCTGGAGGTGGCTGGGTTCGATTCCCGGTCCGGTCCAAGATTTTTTTCGGGTTGGAAATTTTTCGACTTCCCTGGGCATAGAGTATGATTGTACTTGCCAGACAATTACTATACTATGGAAGTGCATTTAAAACACTAAGTTGAGAGCACGCAATAAGCTAATAAGCATGAAATGCGAAGAGAAAGAAGGAGTTGGATGAATAAAGCAATATGTAAATAAGGTGTGTGAACGAGTAAAATCAAATTGTTTATTTTCGATTTATTTATTAACTAAAAGGTTTTAGTTTCCTGGGATTCCATTTGACGAATTCCATGGATTGATCACACTTGGTACCGATAAGGACTAGTTCAAACCGCATACAAATCCACTGATCTAATCTGCTTGTTGGCGTGCCTTATCATCGTCTATCTCGTTTGTTCTGAGTATGACCTGACCCAAAAACAAAGCTCTATGTTCAGATTACATAATCGATCCACAGAAAATGTCGCCTGTTACTTACATTTCTACAAGGACTGTTCTTCAACACAGCGCTCCAAAACACGTCAAACACGTCCATCAACCTGGGACCGTTGCATTCGTTGAATTTGCTCTGCATGCAGTCTCGAACCTGGGACAGTTCTCCGCATTGAGCCTCGCCGTACTTGGAAACTGCCATGATATTCGTCGAGTTCGAGACCAAGTCGCCACATTCTTCCGAGTAGTTGTAATAATTCTTCATACAAACTTCAAGGCTGGCGCCTTCCTCTAACAGTTAAGAATGGTTTCGATTGAAGTAGGAACATGAACTGAGAATCAATGCATAACCAACTTACGGAACAGAATCTCTCCGTCATTTTCGCAAATCAAATCCAGAGCCTCCGGCATCGCATTGTACGTCCCATGTAAAATTAGGGTATCATCGTCGTCCAAACATTTGCTGAGTTCATTCATCGGCGGATCAAGACATGGAAGTACATTGCGTATCTGTGGACAGTACCTGATGGAAGCGGATAAAGGATGCATGTTAACAATCTCAAGCCGGACATTGAACAGTGAATAATGCTAATTAGTTACTTGGGAAAGAACTCATGTCGTGTGGAAGCGTTCGTGTTCAGACGATCCAAGTCATTCATGAAGTCGACCCCATCTATTTTCATAAAAAAGCAAACCGGAACAAAAGCGAAGGAAGCGCCTATGGCTTCAAAGGTTTGGCTGGAACCAGTTTTCTCGTAACAGGCAAGCTCAATTCGATGCATAGATTCCTTGGTTTCTGAAGACACCTCCGACGATGATCCTTGAAGTTGATTGTTGCCAACTTCGATGTTCCTCCCTGTGCAAGCTGGGAAACGGACTTATGATTTTGGGACATTCTTGTGTGACGTTTAAGATTACTTACTAGCAATAAGGCCCGCGAGGAGCAGGGATACAGTTGTGAATCTTTTCATTGCGGAGTTTTGCACTTGCTGCTTCTGATGCTAGAATCGGAATACAACTGGACAGGTTCGATAGGGCAAGCAGATTTTATAAGCTGATAAAAGCTGCGCTTGTTTTTAACATTTGCCAAGATTGCTGCTGAGCGGCGCCGGTGGTGTAGTGGTAAACGTGATTTCCTCTCACCCCAGCAGGCCTGGGTTCAATCCGAGTCGGCACCGCCGGGATGTTCTGAGGCATAACATCTCTGATCACGCCTTCCTTCGGAAGGGAAGTTAAGCCGTTAGTCCCCGGTTCATGAGTTGATGGGTCGATAGGTAGGGTCCAGGAGTGGGAGCTGCCTCCCGGGAGCTGCCTCGGTAGCATTGGTGCTCAGCACGGAAAACAAGACCGACGGAAAACAAAATAAAGGGGAAAAAAGATTACCGTTGTGATTTCCTATAGATGAAACAAAGTAGGCCTTTGATTGCTATGCACAATTATTACATGAAGAGTTTCACGGTGGTCGATTTGATTTTAAATTGAATTCTATACAGGTACACGGCGAATGAGAACGACCCAAATTTGAGTTTAGTTCACTCATAATCGCCAAAAGTGCAGGAGCTCAGCGATGAGTAAATTTGCCTCATGTTTTCCCAGGTTTTTCCAGGATTTTCCAGGGAAAAATTCCCGAATTTGAGAAAAGTAAAGATTGGATTCACTCAGTCTATTGGTACTACTCCGAGACTGAATAAAATTTTCGTCAATTTCCTCATTTTCCGGCAGATTTTTTAGGTTTTCCACAGGAAACCATGAGGCAAATTTTACTCATCGCTGAGTTCCTGCACTTTTGGCGATTATGAGTGAACTAAACTCAAATTTGGGTCGTTCTCATTCGCCGTGTAGAACACGTTTACTGCTTTGGTGAAAGTTGGAAACCAGTAGGAAAACACAACATAGGCGGACAGCGAAAGCAAAACAAACCATTCGCTGGCGGCGCCTACTGTGCACTCTTAAGTTGGTATCAATAACATTAGTACGAAAATTATAATTACATTTATTTTATTACAGAATTGGGCAGGGTTGCTTCCACTTCCTTCACTATAAAACATTGAATTATAAAACGAGTTTTTTTCCTTGATTTATTTTCCGTTGATCTTGTTTTCCGTACTGAGTAACAGTGCTACCGACGCCAGGAAGGCAGCTCCCACACCTGGACTCTACCCCTATTGACCCATCAACTCATGGACCGGGGACCAACGGCATTAATTTCTAGCTTAGGCGTAATCAGAGATTTTATGCCTCAGAAATTCCCGACGGCGCCGACTGGGATTGAACCCAGTCGTTGATTGGAAGCGAAATTTACAGGTGTTTACGCGTAAAACACATACTTTGCAAGCTCTTTTTGTAAGTTATTTACAAGTACTAAATATCATCATAAAAGTTCTAATGATTTCATAATTCCGATAACATTTTTTATAGCGAAAAGAGTTTTTGTCCCTCCTTCCGTCTTCTTATGGTTAGGCGCATGGGTTTTTGAAAAAAAAATGTCCTATCAAGGTGATTACGGCGTATGCATTACTTATTTAAACAAGTTGTTTATTCAATATATAACTTTATTGCATTAATGGTTAATTGTTCGATTTAAAAGCATTTCCGTATTTTAAGTTACAACTCATCGCTAAGGTCTGGATGCTTTTCCCGTGTGTATTTTTATCCATCGGAAGCATACAAAACCACTCGAACAGTTTCGTTTTGTGTCCGATCATCTTCTGCTTCTACCTCTAATGTTTCGGCTATCAACTGAAAAAAAAGGGTTTGCATTCAGATTACATAACCTGTGCGTCATCTGATAATTACATTTTTGCAAGGACTATTCTTCAACATTGCACGCCAGTACACGTCATGCACGTCAATCAACCTGGAACCGTTGCATTCGTTTAATTTTCTCTCCATGCAGTCCTGTGCCTTGGCCAGCTCTCCGCACTGAGCCTCGCCGTACTTGGAAACTGCCATCTTTTTCGTCGATAATGAGATCAAGACGGCACATTCTTGAATGTAGTTGGTCATGTTTTGCATACAAACTTGGTAGTTGGCCTCATCTCCTTTTAGAATAGTTTCGATTGAGGTAGAAGCATGACATGAAAATCAAAGCATAACAACTTACGGAACAGAATATCTCCGTCATGTTCGCAAACTAAGTCCAGAACCTCCAACGTCGCATTGAGCGATCTAAGATGAATTATGTCACCGTTCAAACAATTGCTCATTTGTTCCATAGGCGATTGAAGACATGAAAGTGCATTTCTCATCTGTGGACAGTACCTGATGAGTGAATGCATGTTAAAATCTGGTCGGCCATTTTTTTAAAGTGCAGAATGACACAGAATTCAAAATACAATGACTAACCTGGGGAAAAAATCATGCCGTGTAGAAGCGTTCAGACGATCCAAGTCATCCAGTAAGTGGATCACATCCAATTTCATAAGAAAGCAAATCGGAATTGTACCGAAGGAATCGATCATGGTTTCAAAGGCCTGGCTGGAACCAGTTTTCTCGTAACAGGCAGCCTCAATTTGCTGCATAAATGCCATGGATTCTGAAGTCTCTTCCGACCATGATGATCCTCGATCCCGATTGATGTCAACGTCAATGTTCCTTGCGGTGCAAGCTGCAAAATGGGCATGCTATCGGAAGATTCCTGTATGATCTTTTAGGTTTACTTACTGGCAATAAGGCCCGCGAGGAGCAGGGATACAATAGTGAAAATTTTCATCGCTGACTGTGAACTTACTGCTTCTGATGCTAGAATCGGAATAGAACTGTACAGATTAGATTGTGCAAGCAGATTTTATAAGCTGATATTGCAGCTGTGTTTCTTTTCAAACTGTCCAAAGATTGGCAATATGTTTTCACTTACATGACATCATGTAGGCTATTTACTGCACATCTACATGAAGAACTTAATCTAGAAATACTAGTTTAGTTTGATTTTAGTTAATCGTTGTTGATAGTAAGCTCATTATTTATGGTGTTATCTATTGTTATTCTTCTCAGTATATGACGAAGATTTCATTTGTCATTAGATTCGATTTGTTTAAATGGCAATGTGCTCTTCAGGTTTATGACCTGCAATATGAAAAATCCTTTGTTATCCATCTGACAAACGTTACCAACAAATCAAGACCAACAATTGAAATGGCCTTAACTTCATTTTGTAAACAAACCTTGTAAGGCCATTTTCTCGCGAACCGAAGTCCGCAAAGGCAAACTAACACAATGAACAGGTAGGGGAAATTCTCCTCTACCCGATCGTGGTTTTGATTTGCGTATGAAGGTTTCGGTTCGCGAGAAAATGGCCTTACAAGGTTTGTTTACAAAATGGAGTTAAGGCCATTTCAATTGTTGGTCTTGAAATCATTGTTGCAAAGATTTGCGCACGAAACAAAACAAAACTGCGCAACGAAGAGCTCTATGATGGCATGAACTTTTGCTACGGATGCCAGTCAGATCATTTATTTTTCGTGGTTGCCAAATCAACTTTTTGTATCTCCGCTTATCTATGGAATCTATAGTATCTATACTCTGGATGAGTACTCCTTCTTATCGTGCCTGATCGTGGATTTCGCTCTTCAAGCACAAACGAAGCCAGTTCCTGGTGCTTCAATTCGTAAACCTCCTCACACTGTGTGCTGGGACAATTAATGCACCGACCCGAATATTTAAGAAGAAGTTCACCGCGTTTAAACAACTTCGTAAGCACGGTTCCATCGAATACTTTGAGCGTTACACGGCGCTGGAGGAAAAATTCAAGAGCTTGATCAAGGCCAAAAAACGTAGCAACTGGCTTCGGTTCGTCGCAGCGTTAACGCGAGAAACTTCCATGAAAACGCTCTGGAATGTCGGCAGGAGAATGCGTAATGCGCCATCGTCGGTCAACGAGGACAAGGATCAATCATTTCTTATACAATTTACTGTCCGAGAAACAAATGAGCTTCTCTCATGGCAACTCGGAATTAGCTACATGGGTCTCCTTCAGGGCTCATGTCTAAGTCCCTCGACAATCGTCTATAATCCAATAGGATTATGGCATTGGTATAAGTGAGGGACGGAAAGGATACATTAAGCCCCCCCACCATATCTAACTACGCCTATTAAATGAAGCACATGTTTTTGAAAACATATTATACCAACTTGACAAGATCAGAAACACCGGATTTATTGCAGTTTGAAGCTTTACTTCCATTTAAATGAGTGAGGGGTGGGGGTATAGTTAGCCCCCTCTCATCACTTAATATGCCTATGAGATTGAAAAATTGTTTTTGAATAATTCATCTCAACATACCAAATCGATAAGATAAGAAACTTCGAAGTTATTTCAGTTTGGAGTCTGACTTTCATTGGTACACCGGCAGTGTTGGCAGAAAAAGGGATTTTTGGCATTTAATTCGAACCATTGATCTTTGAACAGCTATAACTTTTTTTTAGATACATTATAGCACCATACATCCTTCAGCAAAGTTGTTAGGTACTTTCTGGGCTATACTTTAACACATTTAGATGCGTGGTTTGTGAAAAATTGTGGTCCCTAGTAATAAAGATGCAAAAAAGTAGGTTTTCCCATATTAATTTCCATACAAATTTCAAACGCAATGCGGAAAGCTGGGTTACAACCAATCGTCCCCAAATTTTGCACAGTTGTTTGGGACCCAAAATGGAACCAAAAAACATTGTTCTGAAAAAAACTGATCATAATGACCCATCCTAATAAGGATGCAGACGAAGCAAAGCGGAATCGCCTCACTTATACCAATCCTATAATCCAATACAAATCGCTATATTTTTTTTTATTAATCAGAGCATACCATTTTTGCCGTCTGTGTTCTGCAAAGCACCTGCAAAAACATAAGATATTTTCTAGAAATCAACTTATCCAACAATTCCTCGACATCCCTCGAGCTTTCTGTCGCAAATTTTAGGACAACAGTTTCCATTTGCACACGAAACTATAAATTCATTATTTTAAAAAATACACACCGTGCTCGGAATTGTGCCAACGGATAAACGCCAATGACGTAGTTGAAGCATAGAGGTAACTCTAAAGGCCCACGCACATTAGATCCGGATCGGACGCGTTGCGGCAAAGTGACAGCTAAATCTATTGTCTAACTGTCCAATTTACGTCAACGCAACGCAAACGGATCTAATGTGGGTGGCCCTTAATACCAAAAGGCCCCGAAGAAATGTGCTCAACTTTTTGGCTCAGCTCTGGTACTCTCTTCGGTCCCAAGCTAATCAATGCACTCCTCGAAACATAGGAATCAAAACAAACATAGTGTAGTACAAGAGGTAAGACAGCTCCTAATCATGAGCAATTTTAGAGTTGCTTTTGAGGCACCTCGAGTAACTCACATTGCTCAGTGAGCAAGATCACTGCCATTTGCATTCTCACTTTTCACATTAAAGGAACATATGCAGATGCGAAGCCGAAAAGCTGCTGTCAAACAAAACAACAACAAACAACCGGCTTGATGTGGTAGAAGAACTCGATCCGCCTGACCAAATACTCGTCGAAGTGATCCCTTTCCCATCTCTCGACAACCCGCCGCTAGATGAAACTGCGATCGTGAAATGGTCCATACTCCACCGAGATTCTGCTGCGGCCGTCGAAGGAAGTCTCCGTTGAAATTGAACATAATTTCTTTAAAGAAAATGTTTCATCCAGAAGGAAAAAAGTTTCTTTAAAATATTATTCATTATATTCGGAGCATGTTTCGTTCTTTGGTTTCTCGTCAGCAAAGTCTATAGCGACGATCCTGTACTTGGTTGGATCGGATTTACTCTTGAGAATCTTCAGATCGCCAAGAACCCTTTCCTTCCACTCTTTCTGAACCATCTGCAGTGCTTCCTCGCCGGTTTTCACTTCGATTTCGTCGGGTAGATCGATGATGAGTTTGAAGTCCGGATGAGGATCGTACTCACCGGAAATATTGGGAGCTGTGTCTTCATCGTCCTCCTCCTCTTCGACTTCAGCAGTGTCGACTGTGTTGATGCTCTGGCTGAACAGTCTGGGATAGCTAGTGGTTGACAGCGTTTCCTTCGGAGCTAGAATTGGGAATCGGATGTTAATCGGTTTTTATCCAACAGGTGCTAGCCAGTGATTTCCCACAACGATTTCCTCCTCGGTGGACATCTTAAAACGATTTCTGTTGTTATTTTACGAGAACAAATCGCATATGTCCATCACCTGCAGTTAATTCACATTCAACGTTTTGAAACGCAGGAATACAAACAAAAAGCGGTTCCAAAACAATACAGAAGCAACAGCAGCCTCAGTGTTCACTCGGCTGTCGACAGAAGCAGACCACTATCAATGTGTGTCACGCGATCGTCTGTTTACTCGGCAGCAACCATTGTGTGGTCCTCCTCATTGTTCTTCATCAGCAGTTCTTTCGGTCGATGCGTCGTCGACTTTGCAAAGCAACCGTTTCGTGATGAATGTGTGAGTGCTGACCACGTTTTGCGTCCATTGCTACAATGGAAGCGCTCTGACCCTCGTTGGCGGATCTGCCATAGAAGTAAACCACTGGAAGCGGCTCCCGTTCTGGAAGAGGAGGCTTATTGGATAGCGGAAGATAAAATGTTTATTGTGTTGTACCTTTTGACCGAGGGGGGCGACTCTATCTAAGATGCAGGTAATTTTTTGCTTTGCTGTTGTGAGATGCACTCGCGCCTAATAGATAGAAACACGATTGATTATGATTTTGAAGATTTCCTGCAAAAAGGTGGAGAGCGATGCGAGTAGATGGGGTTAAATGCAAGAGATGAAAACAGATTTTTCGTAGATTGATTCGCTAGTGTGAGATTTTTCGACCATTTAAAATCGAGATTTAGATGTGCCGTACCCCTCGCTTTTGACTATAGTTTTAAGATGTATTGTATAGTGAACAAGAATCCTCGGCTCTGTAAAGTTAATTCGGTTGAGCCTTATCAAATAAATTAATAATAATAAATAGCAACAGCAGCCAATCGCCAGATGAAAATCCACACCGCGGCCCCTTTCGTTCAAGCCATTTTCTGAACAAAATCTGGAATTGGCATCGTTCCAATAGCCGAACAATTCTATTTTGTTTACAAACTAGACCTACGTCTAATATGTGAAAGAGATAAACGGAGTAAGCCAAGGTGTAACCAGACTAAATTTTGAGGTGCAGTGAGTTACTCGCGATTTACTCGCTGCAAAAAAAACAACTGAGAGTAAAGCTGTCTCACCCCTTGGTGTAGTACTAGAACTTCGTTTTGCTTAGGACCAATAGGCTAGTCAAGTAGTGAACCAATTTAAAATCGTTGAAGTTTGTTGTCAAAAAGCCTAGACAGGTTTTGTCCGTCATTTAAGTTGACATGAACTTACGGCTTACTAATTATAATTATCAGTAAATGCTCTGACCTTTTTTCTGTTTAACTGGATTTTGGTAATGATAAAAATACTTATACTGATTTCCAGCAAAGTGTTATCTTGCTGATCCTTGTGCTGATCCCATTTCAGTAAATTGTTTTGCTGAAACTGTTGTGTGTATCTGAGGCAGCAACAACTCACTTGGGATTCTCCCAAAGGGGTGGTCACTCTACACACTTACTTTGCGCCAGCTTTTTTCTCAGTGTGCCGCAGTTGTTCCGGCAGTGCCGAGAAGTCATTGAACTTGGCTTGAATAATGCCTTGTTTGGCAACGTGGTATTCTGCAGCTCTTGTTTTTGTTTTGTTCTTCGAAGCATGAGACGACCCGGGACTCGGGAGTAGGGACAACATTTCCGTTCCGAGATACAGACCTTGCAAGTGAATTTTGCCAAGACGGTCCTGCAACATTTTATGTTGGACGATGAAATGGTTGGTGTAGCAGCAGCAGCCGCCATGGATGGTATGTTTTCGAGCAGTTCCTGTCAGAGGCGAGGTCGGATGGTATGTTTGGTTGTTGACTTTCCGACTAAAACTGAAAGCACCGCTGTCAGCTGTTCTGTCTTCTGTTCATCTAATGAACGGATAGGGCCGAGATAGGAGGAAATGTGGACGGAAATCTACAGAAGTTCTCCTCACTTCCTTCTTCTTCTCAGAATTCACTAATAATTTACTTAATCACGTGATGCTAGAATTTTCAGAATGGTTTTTGAAGAAGTAGGCTTTGAAAATCTGTCAAGCGCTTGTGGAAAATCAAAAGCTGGCATTCCCAGGCTAGTTCCCAAGCTGTAAACAGGCATGGAAAATCATTTGCATTCATTTCATACATTCATTTACATTCATTTGCCTCTAACTTTTTTTTATCAACAGCATTGCGCAAAATGATGTATAGAGCTTTTGTAGGTTTTGTTATTAGCTACAACTTTTGTTAACAAGTCAAATCCGTATCTCTTATGCATGACGAACCAGAGCGAACAGAAGCCACTACTGTTTTTCAGTGAATGTATTTTACATTCACTGAAATACAGTAACAAGTTCTGCCCGCTCTAGTTTGTGATGCATAAGAGATACAGATTTGAATTATGAGCAAAAGTTGTAGCTAATAACAAAACCTACAAAAGCTCTATACATCATTTTGCGGAATGCTGTTGATAAAAAAAAAGTTAGAGGCAAATGAATGTAAATGAATATATGAAATGAATGCAATTGATTTTCCATGCCTGGCTGTAAATACCACATTTAGAACCTAATAAACGTTAGTTGTAGTAGTTACGACTTGAGAGGGTCTAGTCAGCCCAGTAGCAGGCGCGTAGGCAACATGTTACAGCGGGCCCAGCACAGCAAAATAAATTATTTGAGCCCGGGACATCTGCCTACTGTCAAACGCTGCTGTTGGTATAGGCCTTGTCACTGGCCTGGGTCTAGTATAAGAGAGGAGCAGATTGAAAACAAATTACCTTGACAACCTACGCCTAGGTCATTTCTAGCAACACTGCCATGTAATCAAGATAGGTGCTGCTCGATTGGCTCTGGATTTGACAGTTCGTTTGGCTCAAAATCGGACTGGCTCCTCTCTTATACTAGACCCTCTCTAGTTATGACTGTGTCTTTGTCTAGTGAACAATATTTGATGTGAATTTCGCGAATAAACACTAGGAGCATTTCTTATAGCAAAACTTGACATACGAAATGCTCATAGTTCATTTTAGTAAACAAACTAACACCAACAATCAATACGAAACTAACGATTTAAAATTGGCTCACTACTTGACAAGCCTATTGGTCCCAAGCAAACGATTAACGTACCCCATTCTAGTCGAAATTCTAGTTCTACGCAATGTTTGTTTTGATTTGCTATGGAAGTTTGACAGATAAAATGAGGGGTTATTGGTTTTTCCTATGTTTCGAGGGGTGAATCGATTAGCTTGGGACCGAAGAGGGTACCAGAGCTGAGCCAAAAAGTAGAGCACGTTATTTCGGGACCTTCTAGTCTTAGAGTTACCTCTATGCTAACACCATAGAGGTAACTCTAAGACCAGAAGGTCCCGAAGAAACGTGCTCAACTTTTTGGCTCAGTTCTGGTACTCTCTTCGGTCCCAAGCTAATCGATGCATCCCTCGAAACATAGGAAAATCAACGAACGCCTCATTTTATCTGTCAAACTTTCATAGCGAATCAAAACAAACATAGTGTAGTGCTAGAATTTCGACTAGAATGGGGTACGCTTATGGATGTACTTGGGACCAATAGGCTATTCAAGTAGTAAGTCAATTTAAATTCAGCCACATGGCCACATGGCCGTTCCGGTGATACTGGTAGTGACGGTCGCTTAAAACGTAAGCGGCGACGACTGGGTGGTGAGAGTAGTGACACTGCTGAAGCCGCCCTTCTTAGCAATAGGAACACTGTTGTCGCATTGGTAGAGGATTTTGGCCACCTCGACCCGTCCTTCTGCGGTGTTCCGGTTCGTTATCGCAGCCGATTTAGATCCCCGGGAGAGCTTTACCCGTCATCGATCAGCTTCACGCTATCGTCAGTTTCATTACCTGCCAATAAGCTTGCTTTCCAAAATGCAACGTCGTTGGTGGTTCGAATCCATAGTGGCAACCCATTCCAGCGTTTGAAACATTAGCAGAAGCTTGCTGCAGCGGTTGTAAATTTCCAATGCCACCCGATGCGTTTTGATGTTGTCTTTGTTGAACGGTTGGAGGAACTTGATTTCGTCCGGTATCAGCATGGATTGTTATCTCTTGGTTTGGATTCTACTACTATTTAGTTGTGTTGTTGCTTCAAAACAAAATGTTTGCACTGTCAAATTAACCGGGTTGCCAAACATGCCATTATTCACAAGCTGGCACACAAGATGACTGGCACTCTCGGCACAAGTGAGGCACACTGAGAACAAAATTTGCACAAAATGAGTGATGTGAAACATATGTCAAATAGACAAGAAAAATTATGGAGCTATATCCATCATTTCCATAATGCTTTCAGGAGTGGGCTGTTTTGGGGGTTAGATTAGATTAGATAAATTTTGGGACTTAAATGAAGTCTTTTATCTTAGAAAGAAGTATATGTTTGTTTCAAGACTCTTAAACTTAAATCATTGTTACTTAAATTAAGGGGGCATCGGTTCTCTCACTGTGCGCATGGATTTTTTATAAAAAAGATAATTAAGAATTGGAACATTGATGATTTAGGTTAAATAAGTTTTTTATTCGTCTCAAAATAATAGTTATTTTTTTTTATTTGTTTATGAACTATTATAAGATTTTCCTTTAAGGCTTAATTAGGTTCAAGATGATTTTTCCGTGTGAATCGCTATCTGTCAAAAGATCGAAACGCATATCCACTGATCTAGACTATTTCGTAGTGTGTCCTATCGTCTTCTACCTCGTTTGGTCCGATGATGAACTGCCAAATCAAAAACAAAGCTGTACATTGAGATTACATAACCTGTGCTTCATCTGACACTTACATTTCTGCAAGGACTATTATTCAACAACGCTCGCCAAAACACGTCAAACACGTCAATCAACCTGGGGCCGTTGCATTCGTTGAATTTGTTCTGCATGCAGTCTCGTATCTGGGACAGCTCTATGCACTGAGCCTCGCCGTACTTGGAAATTCCCATGGTTAACTCCGGGTCCGAGATCACGTTGGAACATTCTACAGTGTAGTCGGAATAATTCTCCATGCAAACGTTGTAGGTGGCGCCTTCCACTAATTGCAATAGTATAAGTAGTAAAATCAATTGATCAATCAATCAAGCGTAACAACTTACAAAACAGAATCTCTCCGTCATTTTCGCAAATCAAATGCAGAGCCTCGTGCACCGCATTGTGCGTTGCAAGTAGAATTAGGGCATCATCGTCGTTCAAACATTTGCTGAGTTGTTTTAGCGGCAAGTCAAAGCACGAAAGTGCATTGCGTACCTGTGGACAGTACCTGATGAAAGTGGATGAAGGATGCATAAAATGACATATGAAAGTGTTCAAAGCACAATGACTTACTTGGGAAATATTTCATGCCGGGTGGAAGCGTTCAGGCGATCCAAGTCATTCGCGAAGTTGTCCATATCCACATGCATAGAAAAGCATAACGGAAATGCAGCGAAGGAGGCGGCCATGTCTTCAAAGGCCTGGTCGGAACCAGTTTTCTTGTAACAGCCAATCTCAAGATCATGAACAAAATCCATGGACTCTTCCGATGATGATGATGATGGATATGATACTCGAACGTAACTGTTGTCAACGACAAGGATCCTCGCGGTGCAAGCTGGAAAATGGGCATGGTTTCCAGAGATTGTTGAGGGATGTTTTAGATTACTTACTGGCTATTAGGCCCGCGAGGAGCAGGAATACAGTTGTGAGACTGTTCATTGTAGTCGCTGTACTTGTTGCTACTAGAACTAAAACCGGAATAGAACTGAACAGATTCGCATGTGCATGCCGATTTTATAAGCTGATAATCAGCTGCGCTTGTTTACAAAGTTCTCAAAGATTGACATTGGTTTTTCCCATTTATGAAATCTATTATCTGCTATGTGCATCTACATGTAGAATAGCAAGGCATAGGCATAGCAAAAATAATTGTGGTTTTTGATTGTTTGGTCACGTGTTTATTGCGTTGAATCACTTTATATTTATAATTTGTTTTAGTGTCATTTATTGCAACTGCTCTCTGTGTCATCATATTTCATTTGTTTCAACGGCTTTGTGCTCTTCAAGATTGATGAACTGCAAGTGAAACATTATTTGCTATCTATCTGATAAACGTTACCATCAAATCCACCTACCTTCTTACACGGACTGGCCTTCACCACCGGTCTGTAGAATAGATCAACCAGATCTATAACTCCCTGAGCCTTGCAGGAGTCAAGTTTGTCCGAAATGCAACCTCGAAAATCACGGAGCTCTCCACACTGTATCTCGCCAAACTTGGACAGGTACATTGCTTCGGTCGTATTGGACATCTTGCCCGCGCATTCGATCGCGTAATCGTCAAACTTATCCAAACATTTTTCGTATTCTGGTCCATCTAGTCCTGCAATTTTAACTCACATTGATTATAGCAATTCAGGACTCCCAAACTCAACGATCATTATTACTGAAGAAAATCTCGCCATGACCCTTGCAAATCAGATTCAGCGCCTCCGGCAGTAGATTGATCATGATGTCCAGGAATGCCAACTCTTCGCCGTCCCAGCATTTGCGAAGTAGCTCCAACATCGGGTTAACACACTGCAAGGATTCATTTACCTGGGGGCAGTATTTGTCGAAAAATTGTACCCGATTTGTATCGTTCAGCACTTCCAGATCGTCGCTGAGTCCGTCCAAATCGAGATGACCAGCGAAACATATCGGTACAAACGAGAAACCGGACATTAGCTGTTCGAACGTTTCCGTGGAACCAGTTCGCAGTAAGCACTGCCGCTCCAGGGTATTGATCGGTATCAGATCTTCATCGGAATCCGAACTATCGCCTACTGGAAGGGCAGCCGTTGGGGACGAAGCTGGGAACGATTTCAAATAATTTCAGGATAAATTATTTCTATTTTACCATCCAAAATGAACGTACCACAAACGGCAACCGCTAGCGCAACAAGTACCAACTTCACGGACATTTTTTCAAAACTGAAACGACCGTCTTCCGCTTTGTACGATCGCAGCGCAGCATGGATTTCGAATTATTGCTGATAACGCCCAAACGACCGTTCTTTGTTTGTGTCTTGACCTACCCATTCCGGCATTGAGCAGAACAATTCAATGGTGTCAAAAGACCATCTCGAAGTCAATGTCATGGGGAACAGGTCCGGCAATGCAAATTTGTCGTCCGCTGTTCTTAGGTAACGATGAGTGCGACGTCAAACTCATCGTTAAGGACAGCGGGAGACGACACATTTGCATTGCCAGACCTGATTGTCTCGAAGGGACGTATCCGTCACTATTGCGGCAAGCCACACACAGTATTGACACATGATTAAGAAGACTTGAGATTATTTCTTCGTCCATTATGTTCTGAGGAAAAGATCAGGAAAATGAACTTTGTAGAATGATTTATAGAATCGAACAGATCCGAACTCTTCTTCGATGTGGAGCCGCACAAGCTGAACGGAATAGAGAATAGAAGAGATGAACTAGCCTCTGGCTGAAAATCTCGCTAATAAAGATAACCTAACCTAACCTAGGAACATTTTCCTTGAAATTTCTGTTTCAATTAATTAATTTTTATGTTATTGTGAACCACCAGTTGGAAAACGGTTTCCTAAGAATGATGTAGCATCTGGTAGTGAAATTTAAATAAATCACTTTCAACAACTCGTACAGATAAGCATTGACTAGTCAAATAATGCAGGCTAATCAACTTGTTTCATGAAACTTGCCATTGCGATTTGTAGATAATGAGTTACGTATTGTTATTTTTACTGCGAGAAACACAGTAGTTACAACTAGTAATCCTAAATGCAGAGATTCGCGGAAATATTGTCAGACGAATTGGCAACGTGATTTGTTTTGTTTACAAAAGCTGATAACACTTGCCGCGGAGCAAAATGTTCCAGCTTTGTGCATTATCGTTGTCTACACTATGAGCTTGTTTGTATATATTGTTTGGATTCTCAGTGAACTGGTGAACTATTTCCAACTATTTCTAAGTCAAACGAAGTGTAACAATGTGAGTTTTCTTTCCCGGTTTCCGAAAAACGATGAACTTCGCAAAAAATGGCTGGAGTTTTGCGGGACTACCCGTGGATTTTATGCGTTTGTACAGTGTATGTTACAATGATAATTATTTGGTCTTATATAGTTAAAATTGATTGCTTCTTCCAGTACCACTTCAAGCACATGCAATTCCTGAAAAAAGCAACACAGTTTTATGTAGTTATAACATGCGGCAGCTAGTTATAAAATAGTTCGATATTATACCTTGTTTAGACTGCAGCCTTATGACATGTCGTACAGTCGAAATTCGCTGGTTGGGCCACCACCTCGTCCGATTCGTGTCAGCGCTGATCAGGCGAAAGCAGCCGAAAACTACGAAAGCGAACACACGCACAAGATAGAGAGCAAACTTAAAATACAACCGTATCCGAAGGGGTTCGAAACTGAACTCTGAGCCGCCATATAAACCTAACTCTCTCTAATGTACATAATAGAATAATATAATTATTTAAATAGAATATACTGTTTGATTCAAACCCAAATTTCTCAAATATATCTCAATATACTTCTGAGATATTTTGAAGAATGATAGTCGTTCACTTGCGCTTGAAAAAAAAACCGTTCTGAAAATCATGCATTTTTTTCTCCAAATTTCAGGTGATAGGGGAAATGTTGGCTTCGGCAATACCTTAACCTATTGTCGTCAGGGGGGTAAACAACGTCCTTAAGAGCTCAATTTTGACATGTGAATACATTGTGTTTCAGAGCATCTATTGGCCAAATTTGAGTGCTCTAGGACTTTGTTTACCCCCTGACGATAATAGGTTAAGGTATTGCCGAAGTCAACATTTCCCCTATGTATTATTTAAAACTCTAAACATAAAAGTATTGTTCTGAAAAAGATTGGTTGGACCAAATCCGATCGACGAAAAATGATAAAAGTATTCATTTGAACATCGTATATCTCTGTTGGTTGAAATCGTACAGCTTTTGTATCTGCAGCAATTTTTCATTAGATTTCACCTAATACATCTTTGTCGAACGTCAAGCGGCGCCGGTGGGGTAGTGGTAAGCGTGATTACCTCTCACCCCAGCAGGCCTGGGTTCAATCCCAGTCGGCACCGCCGGGATGTTCTGAGGCATAACATCTCTGATCACGTCTTCCTTCGGAAGGGAAGTAAAGCCTTTGGTCCCCGGTTCATGAGTTGATGGATCGATGGATGCGCCATATTTGCAGCAAAAACTTGAAATATACTTATCCATCAAATTATAATCCTAACTAAGTTAAGAAACTTTTTCGAAGACGTCAACTCAATTAGATGCAATGACAATCCTGCTAGATTTCATTCCTGGCATTCGGTTGAGTTGTGAACTACTGTACGACACAATTCAATGTTAAAACTTAAGGTATCCTTCCCTACTATCCCAGTCACCATCAAATTCCATTTGCTTCGGTGACAAGAAAATACCGACCGAGCTGCAGGCAACGAGACAATAGTTTCTACCGGCTAAAGGCCGACTAAAAGTGAATTGGCACGCACAAAAAGACCTGTAATGCGTGATTCAATAAATTTAAAAAATCCATTAATGGTTGCTTTAGATTACTTTTATTAAAACTTTAAAGTTGCAGCTTTACATGGTTACATTTCTCCAGTTCGAACGAAATCTCGAACCTTCCTCTTGATGGAGCCCATCAGCGCCCACATAGTGGAAACGGACACGAATTTCTTCCATTTTGCCTGCATTTACTGGATGTCCTTGACTGCCCCGCCGCTTCGTCGAAGTCGCTGCTTTAAAATTGCCCAGTATTTTTCGATTGGTCGGAATTCCGGGCAATTCGGAGGATTTATTAGCTTGGGGACAAAATCGATCTTGTTGGCAGCATACCACTTCAGAACCAGCTTCGAGTAGTGGCAGCTGGCCAAATCGGGCCAAAAGATGACTTTGCCCCTATGCTTGCCGATGAACGGCAATACACGCTTTTCCAGGCATTCTTCGATGTAAACTTGGGATGTCATCGTTGAGGATGTGACGAATGGTTCCATTTTCAGGCAACAACTGCAGATCACTTGCCAAACTATGGCCTTCTTCCAAACTTGTCGGCAAACACGAACTTGAATCTTCCCGGCACGCGTCCAGTCGCGATGTAAAACTTTTGACCGGCTGCTTAAAATCGAGTTTGACGTATGTTTCGTCATCGATAAAAGTGCAGCCCTTGTGTAAAACACGGTCATACAATTCGGATGTTTACTTGTGTTGTACGACTTGTATCCTACCCTGGCAAGGATGTTCCGCACCGTTTGAAAGTTGGCGTTACACCTTCTGGCCACATCTCGGATAGGAAGACTGGGATTGGCTTTAACGCACCTTGCTGCGCAGCGGACGATCCCTGGTTCCAGCTTTTTCGTAGGTCCGCTGATACCTTTCCACACTCAGAGTTTCCTTGTAGGTTTTGAGCACTAGACAAACTGTTGTTTTCGGCATCTTCAGCACTTTAGCCAGCTTGGAACAAGACCACTCCGGATTTTCCAGGTGTTGGTGCACAATATTTTTTCTTCTTTCGAGTTCCATTTGACGTTATTTCTGAACGCGATCGACTACTTCGATCAAACTTGCACCAGTTGTTCTCTATAGAAGTGTAAACAAACCACTTTTAAAAGATTTTCAATTCCCAACACTAGAGGCGTGCTAGTGGCGTGCGAGGGGCGTACCAATTTTCTTTTGGTCAGCCTTTATATGTGATCGCGTGATCTACACCCATAGGCACAACTGCACCTGCCTGTTGTTTTGACAGCAGCTTGTAGATAAATTCTGTTTGTTCACTCCTTTGGTGGATTTTGGAATTTTGATGGTACTTTTTTTTTCAAATTTATGGTTTTGACGTTTAAATGCCTATTGTGTCGTTTGTATGACCTTTGTGCCGATTTTCAAGCTTTCTGTCAGTTTTATGGTTTGTTTGGCGTTTTGTACAAATACAAAAGACGGCGTTTTAGGGCTTTTTTGCTTTTTTTATGGTTGCCTTTTTGGCTTTGCGTGGCCTTTTTTACAATTTTATGGTTTTATGGCGAGGTTTTCATAATCTTCAATGGTCTTTTCATACTTGTTTGTCGGTTTCAAGTTATTCTGGGTCTTTTCGGCTGAAAACTTCTTTAAGAAGACAATCAACTAACCAACCTTTTGGCGTTTTCTTGGCCGTTTTTTGAAAATTTATGTTTTGTCGTTTAAATGGCTATTTAATGTTTGTAAGGCTTTCATGCCTTTTTCAGGCTTATAATAGTTTTTTTTAACGTTATAATGACTTTTTAGCTTCATGATCGCAGTAAAGGGTGATACGGTCAAAATTTGGTCAATATCAACTTGACGTATTTCTTTCAATTTTGCATTTAAAAAACCTGAACACCCCTCATTTTGAAGGTGTGTGTGTGTAGAATGTTGCTCCTATTTTGATTTTGGAATTCACTCTTCAGTTGTCAAAATGCCGTCCAAGCAAGAAGAGCAGCGTATCAAAATTTTGCTCGCGCATCGCGAAAATCCGAGCTACTCGCACACAAAGTTGGCAAAATCGCTAAACGTTGCCAAATCAACCGTTACAAATGTAATTAAAGTGTTTGGGGAACGTTTGTCGACAGCCAGGAAGTCTGGATCGGGGGGAAATCGAAAACCGGAAGCCGCTGAGACGACAAAGAGAGTTGCCGGTAGTTTCAAGCGAAACCCTAACCTCTCTCTCCGAGATGCCGCAAATAAGCTGGATGTATCGTCTACAACCGTGCATCGAGCCAAAAAACGAGCCGGACTATCGACTTACAAGAAGGTAGTGACTCCAAATCGCGATGATAAACAAAATACGACGGCCAAAGCGCGATCCCGGAGGCTGTACACGACGATGCTGACGAAGTTTGACTGCGTGGTAATGGACGACGAAACCTACGTCAAAGCCGACTACAAGCAGCTTCCGGGACAGGAGTTTTATACGGCAAAAGGAAGGGGAAAGGTAGCAGATGTTTTCAAGCACATGA